ATGATAAGTTCTTATTATAAACAACTAATGAATCACTAAATTCTACCCCTGTTCATCTATAGTTCAGATGGGTTGCAAAAAATGCCCAGGTCATCTGGACCATACACACCTCCAGATTCCTGTGCTCTGTATTTTATGTTTCTTAACGTTTCACAGAAAAATTCCAACCAGATCACCATCAAAAGAAACTTGATGACTCATTTGCTGGTGATCACAAATAGATTAATTTAATTTTCAAATCTCCATGTATCTTCTATTAAATGTACAAAAGAAGACATGTGCCCTTTAAAAAATTAGTACTATGGGAATGAGATGGAACTTAAATAACTCCCTTCTATCTATAGTCCCAGTACTTAGAGCTCTCCTAAAATGATAATAAGACTGATAATGAAACAACAGAAAGATAATTATATAGAACTTTTTAACACTATGTGTCATCTATATGTATTGTCATAGATACCTATAACTACTTTTAAGTTCATAATATTTATTCAATTCAAAAAATTTGATTAATTTTCTCCCATACACAGATAAATAGTTATAGTCTTCACCCCTTTAGTAAGTGATTAGACTAATCCATGTTCAATTATACCTTTCCTTATTGCAAACATTTTGACCATATTTTATGTACATATAGTAAGTGTATTATCATTTTAAAAATACATCTTTTCCTTCTGGTTAAATTAAGGAAGACACATACTCATTATTTTATATACATTAACAACATTTACTTTAACAAATGGTGATTTGGAATACTTATTAGTAGGTGTCGTATTTCATCATATTCATTCTCAGTTGGCACTATTTGGGCAAAGCTAGTATCTATCTCTTTTGTGTAAATTATGCAATACTAAGTCACTGGGCTTATTTTAAATTGCATCCCTCTCCATTATCTATTCCCTTTCCTGTTTTCTTTCTCTTCATAGCACTCTAACCATGTAACATAATATATAATTAATTTTTTTATTGCTTATATATTTTCACCCTCTAGAATATAATTTCCACAGAGGCAAGGATTTGGTGTATTCTTTTTTTTCCCTACCAAAGTCTTTTAATTTAATTTAATTTTTTAATTAATATATAATGTATTATTTGTTTCAGGGGTACAGGTCTGTGTCAACAGTCTTACACAATTCATAGCACTCACCATAGCACACACCCTCCCCAGTGTCCACCACCCACCCACATTATCCCCCCAACCCCTTCCCCTCCAGCAACCCTCAGTTTGTTTCCTGAGATTAAGAGTCTCTTATGGTTTGTCTCCCTCCCCAGTCCCATCTTCTTTTCCCTCCCTTCCCCTCAAGATCCCCTGCCCTGCCTCTAAATTTCCTCATATCACAGATCATATGGTAATTGTCTTTCTCTGATTGATTTATTTCACTTAGCATAATATCCTCTAGTTTCATCCACATCATTGCAAATGGCAAGATTTCATTTCTTTTGATGCCTGCATAGCATTCCATTGTATACATATATACCACATCTTCTTTATCCATTCATCTGTTGATGGACATCTAGATTCTTTCCATAGTTTAGCTATTGTGGACATTGCTGCTATAAACATTCAGGTGCATGTGCCCCTTCGGACTACTACATTTGTATCTTTAGGGTAAATACCCAGTAGTGTGATTGCTGGGTCATAGGATAGCTCTATTTTCAACTTTTTGAGGAACCTCTATACTGTTTTCTGGAGTGGCTGCACCAGCTTTTATTCCCACCAACAATGTGGGAGGGTTCCCCTTTCTCTGCATCCTCACCAACACCTGTCATTTCCTGACTGATTTATTTTAGCCATTCTTTAGCTTCATTCAGCCTCACTGGTGTGAGGGGTTTTGATTAGTATTTCTCTGACGCTGAGTGATGTTGAGCACTTTTTCATGTGTCTGTTGGCCATTTGGATGTCTTTGCAGAAATGTCTGTTCATGTCTTCTGCCCATTTCTTGATTGGATTATTTGTTCTTTGGGTTTTGAGTTTGATAAGTTCTTTACAGATTTTGGATACTAGCTCTTTATCTGATATGCCATTTGCAAGTATCTTCTCTCATTCTGTTGGTTGTCTTTTGGTTTTGTTGACTGTTTCCTTTGCTGTCAAAAGCTTGTGATCTTGATGAAGTCCCAATAGTTCATTTTTGCCTTTGCTTCCCTTGTCTTTGGCAATGTTTCTAGGAAGAAGTTGCTGTGGCTGAGGTCGAAGAGGTTGTTGTCTGTGTTCTCCTCAAGAATTTTGATGGATTCCTGTCTCACATTTATGTCTTTCATCAATTTTGGGTCTATTTTTGTGTGTTGTGTAAGGAAATGGTCCAGTTTCATTCTTTTGCATGTGGCTATCCAGTTTTCCTAACACCATTTGTTGAAGAGACTATCTTTTTTCCATTGGACATTCAGGTCTCAACCAGTACCAATAGACTGGGACCATTCCCTACATATTTTCAGACCACAACACTTTGAAACTAGAACTCAACCACAAGAAGAAAGTTGGAAAGAACTCAAATACATGGAGGCTAAGGAGCATCCTACTAAAGAGTGAATGGGTCAACCAGGAAATTAAAGAAGAATTTAAAAACTTCATGGAAACAAATGAAAATGAAAACACAACTGTTCAAAATCTTTGGGACACAGCAAATGTGGTCCTAAGAGGAAAATATATAGCAATACAAGCCTTTCTTAAGAAATAAGAAAGGTCTCAAATACAAAGCTTAACCCTACACCTGAAGGAGCTGGAGAAAGAACAGCAAATGAAGCCTAAACCCAGTAGGAGAAGAGAAATAATAAAGATGAGCAGAAATCAATGAAATAAAAACCAAAAGAACAGCAGAACACATCAACGAAACTAGGAGCTGGTTCTTTGAAAGAATTAATAAGATTGATAAACCCCTGGCCAGACTAATCAAAAAGAAAAGAGAAAGGACCCAAATTAATAAAATCATGAAGAGGAGAGATCACATCCAATGCCAAAGAAATACAAACAATTATAAGAACATGTTATGAGCAACTATACACCAGCAAATTTGGTAATCTGGAAGAAATGGATGCATTCCTAGAGACGTATAAACTACCAAAACCGAACCAGGAAGAAATAGAAAACCTGAACAGACCCATAACCAGTAAGAGATTGAAGCTGTCATCAAAAATCTCCCAAAAAACAAGAGCCCAGGGCCAGACAGCCCCAGGGGGATTCTACCAAACATTTAAAGAAGAATTAATACCTATTGGTGTATTCTATTCACTGTTGCTGCTCACATGCACCTAGTAGGCACTTGATAAATAAATACTTGTTGAATAATTGTGGTTGTTATATAAATTAATCCAACCACTTGTCTAAGGGCACAATTAAGCAAGAGATGTCCTCACTGACTTTTCAAAAAACAATTTCACTATTTTTAATGACTTAATCTATTTTAACATCTTCCCATATCACCTTCTTAAAAAGCTTTTTGTGAGGAGTACAGTGCTGCACAATGCCATTTCAAGCAGTCTAGACTCCCACACCACTGCAAATTCTTTACTCATCCAACTACTATTTACATGTGGGTTTATGGGGTTCAATCCTTTTCAAACCTACATATATGCCTTTCTAGGTCATTGGGGAAATGATTTAATTCTCTTAATAAAGAAGTCAAATGTACTGGAATAAGAAAAAGAACACCAAGTAGGTAATGCTCACCTTTGTTCTTTTCATGGGTGTTTGCATAATGACTTTCTACAGCATTAAATTTGCAGCTGTAGCAAAAAAGAAGCTTCTTTTTTAAAGTCTCATATTACTTGTGTTATACTTGAGGAGCTATTTTTTTAAAACATCTATCCGGTATGGGTTGGAATAGAGTAACAACACTCCCATTGGTATAAACTTTCACTACGTTAGGTTAGTAAAAGCCATAAAGTGAAAATATGAATAATCCCCAAATATTCCCATTGCATTTTAGAATTCATTACATGCCTTTTTAAATCTGTTTGTCTTTTTAATTATCTGTTGTTTGTGTTAATAATAAAATTAGTTTCTGAGTAACATATTGGTTGGGCAATTCTTGAGAACAGAAACCGTATCTTATTCATTTTGAAACAACCAAAGCACTTCACCCATTGCAGTGCATACAGTAAGTCCTAAATAAATTTTGAACAAATATATCCTTGGATGAATGAGGAAAAGATGTAGAAGATGTAGAAGAAAACAGTGACTAAGGCAATCATAATAAAAGATCAGTAATACTTTTTCATTTTAAATTATGAATATTTGATATTGGGTCCTACAAAATAAAAAAGGCAGAAATCATCCACTTTCTCAAGCTATCCCATGAAATACTATTTCAACCTACATTCTAATTGAAACTTCCAAATGAACATTTTACATTAGGCTATTACTATAGTAAGTTGTTTAATAAGCTATTTTATTTTGCTTTGCTTTCCCAGACTTAGGACTTTACACAAGATAGAAAGGGTCCTCAAATATGTTTCCGTTTATTCATATGAATTGTCATTTTATTGAGACCAGATTTTCCAACAAAAACATAATTTATTCGATTGTGCTTAGGGAAAGTCAGAGAGTGGGATTCAAAGGATTGTAGAAGGAATGATAATCAGCTATCCTTCTAAACTATTTGTGTATATACATATACATTGCAGCCAAAGATACAAAATAAATGAAAAATTTCCAAGGTAGGTGTACATTTCTTAACAAATCATAAATAAAATTTTATAAGGATGCCTAATATTTATTTTTTTGTATCTTAACGTGCTATCCTTTATAAAAAGCAAAGCAAATTTTAATAACCAATGGTTTTCTACGGAAACATTATTTTCTTTTACCATCCCCAATTAAACTAAACATTATATTTCTGGTATAAATGAATTTTTAAAAAAATTTTGAAGACATCTTATTAAAATATGTATTTTAAGTAACTGTGTGTCCGTAGAATCCAATTATACATTAGCAGGAACAACTTGGAACAGTTTATATCTCAGATTTGTAAAAGCATGAAAATAATAATATGTGAACTGCTAACCTTGAGATCTCATGAACTCCAGTATCTTCCTGAAGACTCTATGCTTCTGAAAACATGTTTTCAGTCTGTTGATATCTCCTTATTTTTTCCTTAAAAAAGAAAACATGCCTCAATATGTCATATAAGGTTATATTTGCAAAAAGTACAGCTAGCTACATGATATAAATATAACATGACACAGGAAAATCAATAGGAATCCTAGAATACAAACAAGGCATTAAATATAGAACTCAATATTCACAGTGTATATAATTTAGCAGAAACAATATCCATCCTAGAAGAAAGTAGCAAATTTCTAATCAATAAACTAATTTTACTATGTGTAAGAAGTTAAAGATATTCCATCTTGTTAATCACTATTACACTAGATTCAATAACTTTCTGGTTTCCAGGAGATTCATATCTTCAAGACACATAAAAATCTGGGAAAATCAACCAGAATGTCATAGCTATATAGTTGGTAGCAATCACAATGAATATTTATTATGTTTTTTCATTTGTTTAAAGGAAACTATTTAATAATAAAATTAACTCAAACAGTTATATGTCCTGGTTTGAAGATACCTTAGGCTTTAAGAAAATAATTTAAACAAATTATTCTTTAAAGAAACATGCTTTAAGAAAAATCTTATTTTTAAAACTATAGTGCCATTATTCAAAATTTTTAGTGCCATAATTTTAAAAGGTAATGAAATTCTCACAATAATTATACACTCGTATTTTTCTCAAACTAAAATGTATATAATCACTTTCTCTAAAGAATTAATGAACCTTCCCTTCTAACATGCTGAAGTAAATCATTATGTCATATACAAATGTAAAAGTTTTCCTTAAAGATGGGGTAGAGAAGTTTGTGAAGGGTGGTTCATTTAGTATTTCCACAACAGCCAGAAATGAACCATCATAGACCATTGCCAGTGAAAATAGGTAGTATGGAAATACCGTACATGAGTTACTTGAATGAAGAAATAGCCTGAGCAAACGATGTGGGCTGATGTTTTTCAGACAAGCTTAAAACATAAAAATCTTTAAGGGAAAAGTAAAAAGATCACAGGAACACTGTGTCTCTGGGAGCCTCTTTCTTCCTTTAACTTTATGTACATCTGCGTGTATCCATCGATTTAGAATAGACTAGAATATCCATGGTACTCACTCACAAGTGTTATCAAATTATGGTCAGAATTGCAGAGTTAAGCAGAGGTTATTGGGTACAGCTTGGTTCTGATGAAGTGTAGATTCAGCAGAAGAACTTGAGAAATTCTGGAGACATTGATTTAAAATTCAGTTTTAAGTATGATTTTAAATATCTTAAACTCTGTTGGGAACATTATACCCTCAAATGATGACATACTAAAGAACACTGAAACAATTACTTTTATCACCTGTTGCACTCATTTTGAGGAATATTTCAGAGTACAACTTTTTCTGTCTTCTGTTAATGATATATACATATATACCTATATACATATTCTAAGATTGCAGGTCGAGTAATTTAAAAACAATAAGTATATTAACAGATCTACCTGCTTGTAGTATGTCCACTGAATAAAGACTTTAAAAATTATTTGCAATTAAAACAAAGCACCAAAAATAAGTTAGATGCTGAGTTGAATATGTCTATAAATGTCATTCATAATCTCAACTCAAACTTTCTTGTTAATGAAAATGAATTCCATAGTATTTAAGTGTCATTTTTATCTATTGAGGTATTGTTCAAGATTTTATCCTAAAAATAAAGTTTTTACTGTTCTTAAAAAAATGGGGAAACTATGACCTGGTTCAGTCTCCCTATTTTATAAGTATGAACACTTATTGCTATGTATTTGACATGTAGATAACTCTGAAGTAAGAGATGAAGTATTTTTTGACCAATGATTGTTAAAACTGGAATTGAAAACATATTGTATTTTACAACCAAATAAATAAAAGACTTTTTATAGTCATTGAGGGTTGTCTATTGAGAAAAGCAAAAGTATTTAAATTTACACACCTCAAATGATTTTGCAATTACCCTATAATTTAAAAAGAGGACAAAGGACCCTTGGTAAAGGAAAAAAGGAACCCAAACTTTGACCTGTTTGAAAGTCAAATATATAAGCATATATTTGATAGACAGGATTGACCCAAACTGAGGCCAGTCAAGCCCCTGGGAGGAGTTCATCACAAAAGAAAAATAATTCTGGAAGAGCAAGTAATTTTCAATGTGAATTTCCAAGTTTGGGCATCTGAGGATCAGTGCTAATTCTGGGCGCAACATTCAATAGTTACCGCTGGAAACCATTCCAACGCCGCACCTTGGTTCGCTGGATGTGACGTGGGGACATGGGCTGTATGATACTGTGTAAGGAAGTATGTGTGCACTTACGTGAGAGAGAGAATTTGAAGAGTTGTGCTAAGATCTGTGGATCAATAGCACTCACCCTGAGACCCAGGCAAATTTGTAAAGGAATAATCCCTAAGTAACGTATCTCAGAAAGATCCGGGGGCTGTTACTCTTCCTCTGCAAGCCCTCTGGGCACAACAGTGGTGATGTTCACAAGTTTAGTAGAGACTGCCATTTTCCTGAAATGCTATGTCTTTGAAGTAATCACAACCCAAGGTGAACACCCCTAGCATACCCTGTTAAAGTTGTACTAGGGGTGGATCCCAGTCCTACGGATGGCCTTAGCAGTGTCAAGTGACATCTGGGACTGATTTGTGGATAAATATAACCATCCCAGGCACTAAGTAAAATATTCAAGGAGAGTGAAGTTTATGGAAGACTAGGAACATGTACACCAAAGTAAATGCAACATGATTTGTCTTCATAAATATTTGTGGTGGTCATCTAAAGAACCCCGGTTTATGATTATAAGTTCTATGAAAAATAATATTGACATAAACCTATGTTATCATTTAGGAATGTGTACCTAACATTCATGATTCATATCTGATCTTTTCTAATATCTGGGATTCAATTAAGAAATTTTCTGAGACCTAGTTTTTCACTTTTAGAAATTTCTGCAATCTGGCAAGCTAGAGGGAATGGTGAGTACCACCTCTCCTGTGTCAGGTTCCTTAGTTTTCAGGTTGCCCGAGGACATTACTGCAAACCATCCTACCAATCCCAGCAGCCATATGTTGTGGCAAGGGTAAAAGCACTCTCCCGTGTTTGTCAACATTTTCTCTAAAGGGCACCTTTAGTAGGTCAGTGAGGCACAAAGCTCATGTTGGTGTTTCAATCAATAGTCATGGTAGACTTCACTGAGGTTACTGAAGGTCACATCTCAGTAGTAGCCTTAATTGAGCCATCAGATCAGCTTGTATTATTTTTAATGGATGATTCATTGATTAACTATAAGTAAATATAACTTGCTTAAGACACTCTTACCTTGTTCCTCTCTTCAAAAAAAAAAAACTCTTCCAAATGCCAAGTTTTTGAGAATAAACTTAACCCTCTCAGGATCACAGAATTTGGACCCCCAAACCAACCATTTCCGCATGTCTGGAAGCCTGCTTCATGTCAGTTTCAGTATGTCAAAAGGAAATGTCACTTTGTGAACACAAGTGAAGAAATGTGAATTTGCTCTTCCCTATTTCTAAGGTGACAATAAGACTTATAAGTTCAGTGCAATAGTTTAATTGCATTTGCAACTGTATCTTAAAATATCGTATTGTATAATTAATATGCCGGCAACCAGCAAAAGCATCATTCTCTCTGAAGGACTGCTTCTTGACACAAAGGGCCTAGGGCAGAAGAATCTAGCAGGAAAAACCAATCTGCCAGGTAAAGTTTGAAGCTATCTTTCCAAAAGAACAAAACCCCATGGAAAGACACATTGACTCTACTTAGAATTCTTTAAGTAACAAGATCACTCTAATTTCGTGTCTTCACAAACACATGTTGAAGAACAGTTATCAAAACCCATGCAGCATCTACTCATTTACCAAACAACAAAAAGTGAATTTCTGTGCTTCCTAACATGTGTTGAACTATAATAAGGTAGTATCACATGTCCAAAAACATTTCCTAAAATGATAACACTTAAGTCATTCCATTTCAGTAAAGTGGATAAGAGTTATCAAAACAAATTAAACGAGTCCTAATTGGGCTGTTTATGTATCAGGTAGTCACCATGGGAATCTTCCACTCAGTCAGCTGTGCTCGGAAGTTTACACACATTTCTCTAGAACTGTTCAGATGGATCACTGTTTAACACATGGAGAAAGATACAATGATAATTATGGGAAATTTGCAAAAATTGTAAGAAAATCTAGGTAAAAATTTAGGTAAAAATTTTAAAACCTAAAGAATTACATAGTTTTCCAGAAAATTTCCAATTAGTGAAATTTACCAAAAAGACATACAAATTTGGTAAAGCAGATTAAAAGAGATTAAAAAGGTGTTTCAGGCTCTATGATCACAGGGGCAGTTAGGTCGACAGGTTACCGGGAAGCCTTAATGAACCTTTATAACAAAAGGTTGCAAGTTGCTTAGAGCATACACTCCACCACCAAGTGTTTCTCAACCTTTACATATTTTTCACTCCCCCCACTCATGTTCACACTTGCCACTCACCCAGTGTAGGGTCTGTTATTCAACATGGTAGACTATCCTTTCATATAGACTCACCTCCAGGACTTTTCTCTCTCCTCTTCGGATCAGCGTGATGAAAAAAAAAAAAAAATCACTTGGTTAAATTCAGCTCTCCTACTATGAAACTACCAGTAGTCACTGAACAGATTACTATGATTAGAGAAAATGTAGGATACTGCATCTCTGGCAAGACTATTGATATATGATCACATACTTCAACCCAATGAGACTGCCAACAGAAGCACCTTTGCTTCTTTGCAACTCTCCAACATTTCTTCCCATCTCCCCCTCTCAGTTTATGATACTGCTTCTAAGAAAATTGGAAGATTGATTTAATTTCCTCTTCTTATCTATATTCTACATACTCTTGATATTTATACCCATATAGTCAGCCTTCAATCCTCTTATAATGGAGAAACTTCTCTCCCACCTAAGATCAATCCTTTCTCTTGGATTCTATTTCCTCTCACCAATTTTAGGTCTTTGCTGCTTCAGTTATTCCCTCATGCTCCTGCATCACCATTCCCCCTTCCCTCCCATTTTACTGGATTAGTCCCATCTGTCTGCAAACTTAACCAAAGAGGTGAAAGACCTGTAATCTGAAAACTATAAAACACTGATGAAAGAAACTGAAGATGACACATAGAAATTGAAAGACATTCCATGCTCATGGTTGGAAGAACAAATACTGTTCGAGTGTATATACTACCAAAAGCGATCTACACATTTTATGCAATCCCTATCAAAATACCTACAGCATTTTTCACAGAACTAGAACAAGCAATCCTAAATGAGTATGGAATCGCTAAGACCCCAAATAGGCAAAGCGATCTTGAAATAAAAAAACAGAACTGGAGATATCACAATTCTGGACTCCATATTATGTTACAAAGCTGTTTTAATAAAAACAATATAGTACTGGCACAAAAACAGACATAGGTCAATGGAATAGAATAGAAAATCCATGGGGCACCTGGGTGGCTCAGTGAGTTAAGCCTCTGCCTTCGGCTCAGGTCATGATCTCAGGGTCTTGGGATCATACCCCACATCGGGCTCTCTGCTCAGCAGGGAGCCTGTTTCCCCCTCTCTCTGCCTGCCTCTCTGACTACTTGTGATCTACAAATAAATAAATAAATAAAATCTTAAAAAAAAAAAAAAAAAAGAAAATCCAGAAATAAGCCCACAGTTATATGGTCAATTAATTTCAACAAAGGAGGAAAGGAATATACAATGGAAAAAAGAAGTCTCTTCAACAAATGGTGCCTGGAAAACTGGACAGCTACAGGCAAAAGAAGGAAACTGTACTACTTTTTTAAAGTATACACACAAATAAACCCAAAATGGATTGAACACTTAACTGTGAGAACTGAAACTACAAAAATCCTAGAAGAGGGCACAGGCAGTAATTTCTCTGAGATCAGTTGCTGCACTATTTTTCTAATTACAAAGCTAAGAAAATAAAAAGCAAACATAAAACGAGATTACATCAAAATAAAAAGCTTCTGTACAGCAAAGGAAATAATCAACAAAACTAAAAGTCACCTTACCAAATGAGAGGAGATATTTGCAAATGACATATCCAAAAAAGGATTAGTGTCCAAAATATACTTAAAAAACTGATAAAATCAACACCCAAAAAAACAATCCAATTTAAAAATGGACAGAAAACATGAACAGACATTTCTCCAAAGAAGACATCCAGAAGGTTGGCAGACACATGAAAAGATGCTCAACATCATTCATCATCAGGGAAATGCAAATGAAAACCACAATGAGATATGACCTCACACCTGTCAGAATGGCTAAAATCAAAAACACAAGAAACAACAAGTGTTGGAAAGGATAAGGGGAAAAGGTACACTTATGCACTGTTGGTGAGAAGGCAAAGTAGTATAGGCACCATGGAAAACAGCATGGAGATTCCTCAGCAAGTTAAAAACAGAACTATCCTACAAGCCAGTAATTGCACTACCCCAAAAAAATACAAAAACACTAATTCAAAAGGATACATACACCCCGATATTTATTGCAGCATTATTTAAAATGACTAAATTACAGAAGCAAAGTGTCCATCAATAATGAATGGATAAAGAAAATGTAGTATATATACACAGTAGAATATGATTCAACCATAAAAAGGAATGAAATCTTGCCATTTACAACATGGATGGAATTAGAATTATGCTAAATGAAATAAGTCAGTCAGAAAAAGACAAATACCAGATGTGTCACTCATATGAGGAATTTAAGAAACAAAACAAACGAGCAAAGGAAAAGAGGGAGAGAAAAACCAGGAAACAGACTCTTGACTATAGAGAACAGATGGTTACCAGAAGAAAGGTGGGTGGGAGATGAGCGAAATAGGTGGAGGGTATTAACAGTGCACTGATCTTGATGAGCACTGAGTAATGTATAGAATTGTTAAATCACTGTACATCTGAAACTAATATTACACTATATGTTACCTATTCTGGAATTAAAATTAAAAACTCAATTTAAAAAAATCCCTTTACATCAGTTCCCCATCTCATCACTTTATTTCTCAATTCCATTTTATAGCAACTTCCCCAGAGAAGTATTGAACGCCTCCAAATTAGGCTTCATTTTTACAACTCCACTGAAGTAGCACTTCCCATGGTCAGCAGTGAACTCAGATATTGACAAACCAAATGGTAAATTTTCTCTCAAGAGAGTTTGATTCAGATAATCACTTCTTTTTTTTTTTTAACTTGGCTTCTAGGATACCATACAAGAAGTAGGCTTATCTCCTACCTCATCTGCTGCCCTTTCTTAATCTCTTTGCCTAATTTCTTCTAATCTTCCTGATGCTGAAATCCTTTAGTAGATTGAGATGTGATATTTCTTCTTTATTTGACTCTTTCTTACAAAAGCAGATCCAGTTCTATGTCTTTAAATACCACCATTTATTTATGAATCCCCAATTTAGCTTTTAGCTTGAACCCCTTCTCTGGGCTATAGATTCTGATATCCACAGTCTATTCCACAGCTCTGCTTGAATGGCTAATATGCTTTTGAAAGTTAACATGTTAATATAATAGTAATAATAGTAATAATGATAATAAAAAAAAAAGGAAGGAAGAAATAAAGGAAAGAACGAAGGAAGGAAAGATGGAAGGGAGAGAAAGAAAGAAAGAAAATAACATACTCCAGGCTTCCTCCTCTACTCATCTTTCCCAGTGCAGCAAATGACATCTGTGTTTACCCAGTGACTTATAATAAAAACATAGCTCCTAGAGAAATGGCTGATTCTAGGACTCAGGCAAGGAAAACAAAAAATGAACTTGAAGCATCTTATGGTGATGGAAAGAAAGGAAGAGAAAGAAAAAAACAGGCACAGGCATGTCAAAAAGATACAAGAATAAAACTGAAAGAACTTTCAATGACCAAAGTTGGAATAGTTTAAGCAAATAATAATAATAATAGTAATAATAATAATAATAATGACAGTATTAGATTATAACCAAGAAATAAAATAAATATCTATGAGTCTATACTCATGTAAATAAATGACTAAATAAATAAGTAGGGGAGAAGGAACAAATCTTTCTTACAAGTATTCCAAAATATATATGTAGATCCTTTTTCAGGAAGTGGAGTTTGATCCCCACTCCCACCTTAAGTGTGAGCTGTATTTAAATAAATTGCTTCCAAAGAATAGAATATGGAAAAAAGAAAAAAAAACCACTAATGATAAGTTGGAGAAACTTAGCAGATATCATCTTTTTTTTTTAAGATTTTATTTATTTATTTGACAGAGAGAGATCACAAGTAGACAGAGAGGCAGGTAGACAGAGAGAGAGAGGGAGAGATGCAGGCTCCCTGCTGAGCAGAGAGCCCGATGCGGGACTCGATCCCAGGACCCTGAGATCATGACCTGAGCTGAAGGCAGCGGCTTATAACCCACTGAGCCACCCAGGCGCCCAGCAGATATCATCTTAACCAAATGACAAACATTAATACCACCAGTGACACAGCACGTTAGTATCATCTAGTCCCTCATATATTTGGACAAGAAGAGCACTTCATTTTCCGTGACTTTCTTATTCCAGATCCACAACCCCCATGTAATGAGAAAACACCAGAGAAAACTAAAATTGCCGAACATTCTAACTATGCTCTTCAAAAAGTAATGGTCCTAAAAAAACAAGAGAAGATTGAAAAAACGGAGGAAAATAAGGAGACATGATAACTAAATTCGACATGATATTCTTGAGTAGATCTTATTAGCAAAAGGATATCCATGAATAAATCTGAAAAGAATCTGTAGTTTAGTTAATATAATAATAAGTGGTAACAATGTTAATTTCTTCGTCTGGACAAATGTACCATGGTTATGTAAGATGTTAACACTGGAAGAAGCTGAGCAAAGGGTTTAGGTAATTCTGTGCTATTTTTACAACTTTGCCGTGAATCTAAAATTATTCCAAAATATAAAGTTATTTAAAAGCCTCAGAATTATTCATGTTTATCTGTTTTTCTTAAACCTCACATCTAAACATTAGCATCTCCTGTCAGCTCTACCTTCAAGATTTATTGTCAGTCTGAGCACTTCTCACCAAATCCCACATCTCTCACTTCTACCACTCAACAATGGTTTCCCACCTGGTCAATGCCTTCTCAATTGATTCCCCATTGCCCATGCACACAAGTGTCAAGCTCTTTGCCAATGGTCTGCATTTGCTCTTCATTCTTTCTAGAAGTCCCCTCTCACTCCAGATATTACATGGCCTAACCCTAACCCTACTATTAAGAATCTATCTTCAAAAAAGTAAAGCACTGGCGGCACCTGGGTGGTGCAGTTGGTTGGGCTTCTGACTCTTGATTTCAGCTCAGGTCTTGATCTTAGGGTGGTGTGATTGAGCCCCACCTTGGGCTCTATGCTTAGTGTGGAGTCTGCTTGGGATTCTCTCCTTCTCCTCCCTACCATAAACAAATAAATATATCTATATCTATATCTATATCTATATCTATTAGAGAAACAAAAGTAAAGCATTGGAGGAACTGGATGGCTCAGTCAGTTAAGCAACCAACTACTGA